GTCGCGGAGAACCTAACGGGTTACCGGGGCTTCGGCTCGACGTGCAGGAGAAGGAACGGGGTGGTTTTTAGTCAGTAAGAGTCTGACACTCCCTCCCGCCTCACCCAGGCGGGAGCAGTCAATCGAGGATATTTCCCCCTTAAAAAAATACAATTCATACTATTTTCATACTATATTCAACATACAATAATGGTCCACAATTACTTATTCTACGTAATTCCTTATTTCATTTAGGAGGTAGCCTTGAGAAACTATGCCTTAATGTAAAATCATTTCTTTAACTCTACAATTCTTGCTGCTTACCTTCAAATACCCTTCAGAATTTTCTTCAAGTAAAATTTCTAGGGTTCCGTGAATGGTTTTTCGTTATTTCTATTTTAGCATAGCATAACATTACGCCTTTTATCCCCGAAGGGGTAGGCAGAGGTGCACACAGAAGTGACACCCACTTTTCACTATTCATGTTATGAGTCCCATGTAATAGGGGGTGAGCCTATTGCCATATACTGGGCACATTTACAGACTCCGTGCTACTACTAAGATTTTTTTAAAAACCCAGTAATACTTTGCCCAACCCGGGAATCGAACCCGAGACCCCTTGCCGCCAGTCGCACTTACGACCACTCGGCCAACGAGGCAGTTATTATTTCTATTTTAAAACATTGTTTAACAATAAACTAGAATACCTATTTATATATTATATTTTAAAAGCACTTCCTAATGTGTTAACTAGTTGTAATTAGTTCGAGTCAGTTAACTAATTACAGTTCGAATACATAAATTATGTAAATACTTAGATGATCTGAATCCATTTTTAAGCGACTTCAAAAAGAAAAAGGGGTTGGTTTGTGCGTTAATATCTCGCTATTGGTTAAATCAATTTTGATGCGGTTTTCAACCAAGTGTTTGTTACATTTAGGAGAAGGTTTTAGTATATTTATTGATTAAAAAAGAGGGTTTTGAAATCGGTTTTTTAAAGGTAGTGTATAAAAGAATTATTAGGACTGAATTTTTCTTCTTTCGTAGTAGGTGCTTTACAGAACCCGTATATTTTGCTACAAGTTCTAGCCTTCAGACGGCATTTATTTAAATATTTACATTGCTTACGGTCTCATACCGTTGTACACGTATGTGACATGCTTACTACCCGTACCTCGCATGACTCAGGCTATTTGCACCACGTCAGCATAAAAAACTTTATCGATTATAGCCTTTAAACTCCACTTATGGCTTTGATTTATAGTTCAAAGTCGATTGTCGGTTTTAAATTTGAGTTTTTTATTTGTTTAGTAATGTTACGTTGTATTAGTTGATAATTTAATTTTTGAAGATGAGGTTCGAAGTTTTGCGGTTGGTCAAACTGTTTAAACAGAGTATAATATTCTTCTTGATTATTTCTTCTTGATTTTTTTGACGCTAATGACATGCGTTATAAAAATCTTTCACAAAAATTAAAAAAAAAAATTCAAAGCAACAAAAATTAAAAAATAAGAATTATATACTCGATCCAGCCTTTCTCGAGTTCTGTGCTTGACAAGACAACGATAGCAAACATACAGAAAAGTCATAGTAAACTTCAATAATGTTATTAATTAAATCTGTGTATGACATAACATCACGCCTTTTATCCCCGAAGGGGTAGGCAGAAGTGCACATTATGCCACTGTACAATGTAACACCCACTTTTCACTATTTATGTAATGAGCCCCATGTAATGGGGGGTGAGCCTATTGCCATATACAGGGCACAATTCCAGACTCCGTGCTACTATTGAGATCTATGTATGAATACAATAAATAATAGATGTATAGCCAGTCAGTGCATTGTGTAACTGAGTATTGCAGTTAGAAACTGCGCGGGAGTGCATTGCGAAAACTTTGACATTTGCTCTTACAAGTGTGCCACGGTCGTCACAAGACCACTGGTTATAACTAGATAGGTATTCCAAATTAACATCAATTAGGTAATTATTGTAATAATAATGTGGGAATAAAAACTAATGGAAAGTGGGTGTAGTGTACAATCGATGAAGTTAGCGGTCGATCATCATTAGACGGTATTTGCATGCACCAGTGACTACAGCGATAAACGCCCGGTGGATAGCGAGTTAGCCACAGGATTTTGTTTAAAAAGAGTTCACTGACTCACTCTTTAAGGAACCCACTTAAATATACTTGTCTAGGTAATTATTTATGAAACCAAAATTCCCGCATTGCAACCTATATAATCCGCATCGACCTCGAGTGCTCATGTAGGCTAGGCGAAGGTCACTTACAAGTCTTATGTATACTTAACGATATTATAAGTACTTGATGTTATTTAACCTGCTTTATCTTTCTTTTTTCTTTTTTTTATATCTTTTTAAAAAAAAAAAAAAAACGTTGCCCCACATTAGGATTTTGTCCTGTGTCGTGGGTGCGTTTACAAACATACAAGTTCACATACACAATGACACCCAGACCCGAAACAACAATTTGTGGATCACACAAAGTGTTGTTCCGTGCGGGAATCGAACCCGCGACACGTTGCACGTCAGCCGGTTGCCCAGCCACCGCACTAACCGTGCAGTCAGTTTATAAATCACTGCAGCTTACCTACCTATGTATAATTTAATGTCCTTGGACTTTATCGTGATTTCATTTAATCCTGTCCTGGAGGCTTACCTACTCTTGAAACCAATCGCAATGTCAATGCTATTTCAATTCAATAAAGTCTCAATAATTATTAAATGTCATAACTATACAACCCCTATCCTAGCTATTAAAATAACATTCAGAGTACGGAATATAAAGCCGAACTCAATAGCATTTAGTTCATTCAATATCCACGCAATACGGATGCAATGGGCGCTAGTGTTGCACCTCAAGAGTACGAAATTTTACAATATCAATGTCGATCTATCGGAATTGGATTCAAGAGTAAGCCCCCAGGGCAGGGCTCAACAGCCCTCATCAACATGAACCCGGATCCCCGTAACACGTGATTCCAAGTCGTTCATCCTTACTAATATTATAAATCGGAAAGTGAGTTTGTTTGTTTGTTCGTTCCACTTTCACGCCGTAACTACTAAACCGATTGCTTTGAATTTTTGCAGACGTAAAGTTTGAAGTCCGGATTAAATAATAGGGTACTTTTTAACCCGGAAAATTGATATTACCGAGGAAAAACAAAAGTATTGGTATAGATGGCGCTGTGTGTATTAGTATATGTCACAGGCTACTTTTTATTCTTTTGTGACGCGAGCGAAGCCGCGGGTAAAAGCTAGTACATTATAATTTGCACCTTTATCCACTCCATTCCAACTAATCACAAGGTGTGATTTTATGTTTGGGATTGGAAAATGATCTTAATTTCGTATTTGGTGTAGAACGTCGAATATTTCAGAGTTGGACTTTTAAATAAAAATACGTGTTCAAAAACAAAACTTGAAATCGACTTCTTCATTAAAATGTGACCGGCTTTGAATTACTCAGCGTTCCACGCCCAATTGGTGACACCAACGGCCTATACTATGCATTATGAGCATAAATCATTATCCCGTCGAGCGTCCGCGTTCCTTATGATCCAACGGGTGCACACGTGACATTTGAAGAAAGAACGAAATAAAGAAAGAAAATGCATTTATTTGACCATTGGCATACGAAAACAAGGATCATTACAATAGAAATAAAAAATAAAGTCAAAATAAAAACAAAACATTAATAATAGATTTTATAAAAGAGAAAGCAGAATGGAGCATTTTTTCTTATGATCCACTGGGTGCTCATAAGGACGCTCGAGGGGTTTAAAAGGAATTCCCTGGTTCATCTAAAAATAGCTAAAGAAAAAGTTACCTAACTTATCATTACGTAACTACACATGAAATAGATGTTACTTAATGCAAGTCATCTCAGAACTTCGCTAACTTTAAGGTAGGATATAAATAGACAAGGTCGCCTTATAAACGTGCGCCACGCCCCCTAGCGGTGGTTTAACCATTAATCAAACTATCAACAAAGAACGATCTATTCAGGAAAATGGAACACGTATACCCGTGTACCGCAGCCTTTACCTTTAACCTTTATAAAAAGATTTTTGTAATGATGCCTAATGTAGCGGTATTTAATACCTAGGGACCTACATAGACCAGTCTATGTTTTAAGTGTTTTGCGGATTGGTTATCGCGTTTATTACTATTAGGGCAATGACATAAGAAATGTCTGCCTCTGCCTCTACCCCTTTCAGGAATAAAAAGTGTTCTAAGTTTCCCAAGTCATCAATGAGAGTGCTAAGTCTAAGCGTCTCTCGGTTGCCATCAGACCACCACAGTTGGGGACCAACAGGGCTGATGCTGATACGGAGCCGCGGATAACCTAACGGGTTACCGGGGCTCCGGCTCGAAGTGCAGGAGTAGGAACGGGGTGGTTCTTAGTCAGTAAGAGTCTGACACTTCCTCTCGCCTCACCCGGGCGGGAGAAGGCATCTACCTCAAAAAAAGCGTCTCTCGGTTCGGTTTCTAGCATGGCTATTGTATTTATTAATTACGGTATTTTAAGGCGTATTGTTAAAGCCTCAATCTTTTTGTGGCGCTTTCATTTAACGCCCTCCTATGCCTGTCCTCGAGATTTAGACTAGGTAGGAGGACTAGAAAACGTCTTAACTCCTTTTAAATACCCCAAGTAAGGGAGAGCAATCTATGAACTGGCTCAACACCGTAGTGATACTACGGCCTTACAGAAATCCGATGTGAAAAACGTTTGCGTTCTGTTTCGTCCCGTCTTCCCCAATCTGATCCCTGAATCCCGGATTATCCTCAAATTCCTAATCCCCAAAAGGATGACAACGCACTTATAACGCCTCTGGTGTTCCAGATGTCCATGGGCGACGTCAATTGCTTACCATCAGGTGATCCGTTTGCTCGTAAACAAAAACACCTACGTTCTAACGGCAAAGACGATTGTTTCTTAGTGTACCCATAATAAATCAGTAGCTAACAGCACATTTCCGTTAAACATGTCCAGGTCCTGGAGAGAGCTACACAGACTACGTGGCGACGCGGTGGTACCGCGCGCCTGAGCTACTGGTCGGAGACACCATGTACAGCACACCGGTCGACGTCTGGGCTATAGGTATGTCGTTATGTAGGTGCTGGATGCTGGCGTGCTGTTGCGAGGAGATGCGTGAATGTAATGATACCTAGAAAAATGTACAAGGATTCTAAATTGTAGTTGGTGGCGCTCTGTTGATCATTTTAAACACTTTTTAACTCGTCGAGTACCGTATTTATAGACACAATTAAAGAACAATAGGTTGCGGTCACCGGTGACCGCTTGGTGTTTGACAGTTTAATGGTGGTAGTGCCTACTAATTATGTCACCATCAATCGAGTTATCATCGGCCCAGTCTCTGTGAAAAGTAACAGCGAATTTTGTACCTAAAGATACATTGATTTATTGCTGGTTATTGAGTATTCTCTTTATCCCAGCGCCTGCTGTTTATTCTCACATACATTTGAACTATAATAATTTAATCAGGCGCTAATATTTCACAGGTTGCGTCTTCGCAGAACTTCTGTCGGGCGAAGCGTTATGGCCGGGGAAAAGCGACCTAGACCAATTATATCTAATACGAAAAACCCTTGGGGATCTACTGCCCAGGCATATGACAATATTCTCACAAAACACCTTTTTTCAGGTAAGAAAAAACAAAGAACCCCATATTATATTTTACTGATTGAAATTACTTAATAACGTGAATTGGGATGATGACAGGGTATGAAAATTAAAAATGTAATTAGTCCATAAGTTAGGTAATGAAAAAATATTAGACACGTATTTTTTATTTTGTCGTATACCTAATAAAACAATACTTAGATAAAACGAATCAATGTTTAGGAGTGGGGGCTAAAACGCCATTTAATTTTCTACGTATAAAATATACATAGAAGTGACGTCACGCGACAAATCAATATATCGACGAAAGTATTCGTTTCTGTAAGGAAAAAAATAAAAACATTAAAATAAAAATTAGGCATCTACCCTATTGTGCAAAAAATGCTCGATTAGTTTCAAGCCATATCCGGACTTATGCGCAGAGTGAGTGGCGCATAATGACGTCGTGCAGCCCACTTTTATTTGCTATAATATAATGAAAAGTATTCTCTATAAAACAAATATCTCAACGTTATGGTATAAGAAAACTATGTAAGGTGTCTCATTAATCTGTCTTTGGTGTCCAGGGTATGGCGCTGCCGGAGCCAAGCACGGTGGAGCCTCTACAAAAGAAAATACCTCAACGGTACTCCTGCAACGAGCTGGTGCTAGACTTTATGCATGTGAGTTACACGTAAAATCTCAAACCAAATGTTATCTAGGTAGGAAGGTACTTTCTGATCACTAAGGACTGATCACAATTGAATAAGGTAGGGCCTTTAATAAATATGTATATACCTCTAGATAGCAGTTCGTGGAATAATTAAGACCTGCGGACATAGCTACGTAAGATTCCCGTTACAGACAGAAGGGGCTTAAGAACTTCGCTTGTGCCTAATTTGTAATTTCAGATCGTTTTTTATCACATACTATTATATAAAGCAGAGTTTGTTTTTTTGTTTCAACGCGCTAATCTCCGTAACTACAAGTCTGATTTGAATAATTATTTTTGTGTTGGATAGTGCATTTATCGAGGATGGCTATAGGCTATAAAACATCACGGTACGATCAATAGGGCTAAGCAGAGCGAGTAAAATCGCGCGGAAATAGCTAATAATCTATATTTTCATAAACGGCATTGAGTTTGGTATTTGTTAGTGTCCAGTATTTACCTCAGGTTAGCTTAACTAACTTGTATCATCCATTTTGATCTTTCTCCTTTCAGAAATGCTTAGACAAAGACCCGATGGTGAGGTGGACCTGCGAACAACTGCTGAGGCATCCCATCTTCGAGAACTTCCTCTTCACGGTACCACATTCAGACCATGAAGAGTATGAAAAATCTAGAAGAGCGCAGGTATGACCCTACATTTAGGTAGGCAGGTATGAACTAGAGATGGGCTAAATTGTGCTTCATAATAGCGTGAATCAAAATAAGGTACTGACTGCTCGGTTGGCGGGTTGGCGCGGTGGCTGGGCAACTTGCTACCGCTCATCGTGTCGCGAGAACAACTCTTTGTTGGATCCTAATTGTTGTTTCGGACCTGGGTGGCATGTGTATGTGAACTTGTAGAGTTTGTAAACGCACCCACGACACAGGAAAAAATCCTTGTGTGGGGCAACGTTATTTAAAAACATAAACATAACATCACGCCTTTTATCCCCGAAGGGGTAGGCAGAGGTGCACATTATGCCACTGTATGTACAATGTAACACCCACTTTTCACTATTTATGTTATGAGTCCCATGTAATAGGGGGTGAGCCTATTGCCATATACCGGACACAATTCCAGACTCCGTGCTACTACTGAGAATTATTTAAAAACCCAGTAATACTTTGCCCGACCCGGGAATCGAAACCCGAGACCCCTTGCCTAGCAGTCGCACTTGCTACCACTCGGCCAACGAGGCAGTCAAAAATATATATAAAAAAGCAGTTATTTAAAAAATATATATAAAAAAGCATTTTTTTTAAAAAGAAAGTTCTTTCCAAGAGTCCATCTCTAGCACATTTTGCCTACCGGTCTAGTCTACATTTGGAATTAACTTCATTTCTTGACTGACAGAAAGATAGTCTCCATAATTATAATTATTTTCCAATTTAATTCACCAAACATTTTCTCAGTTAATTTATGTTTAGAACAGCAGCTCAGTATTTTACACACCCCTACTTCGACCAAGCCCAATCCTATTTTCAATGACCTCATCTCATTGCTTGTCTATAAACAGCATCGATACTTGGGTCGGAGAAGTCATATGCCAGAAACATTTCCTGAGCCAATCACAGTGGACATAAGCGTCGCGCCATCCCCAAAGAAGGGTAAAGGCAAAAAGAAATAGCTGCGTAAAGAACACCTTTTGGGGTGTAGGAGAAACTGGATACAAAAGTATGACTATGATATTATGAGTAGGTGTAGATTTCGTGATTAGGGTCTTGGTTTTAAGGTACATTTGAATAGGGTAGATGCCAAATTTTAATTTTAATGTCCGTCTGGTAGATTATTTTAAATCACTAGACATGTATTTTTTATTTTCTTACGGAAACAAATACTTTCTACGATATATTGATTTGAAATGTCGCGTGACGTCACTTCTATGTACATTTTATACGTAGAAATGACGTTTTAGCCCCCACTCCTAAACTTTCGATTCGTTTTATCTAAGTATTGTTTTATTATACGACAAAATAAAAAAATACGTGTCTAATATTTTTTAATTACCTAACTTACGGATAATTAGATTTTTAATTTTCATACCCTGTCATCATCCCAATTGTTAGTGTTGAATTTGATGTAGTAAGTATCGAATAATGAATAACTTAAATTGTTGGTCTTCGATTAGAACGTACCTACGTAGTTAAGCCTAATTTAGTTACTACGTTAATGTAGTTAAGTCAGTACTTTGTTGTGTGTAATTTAAAAAAAATATTTTAAAATTACTTAGGGCCGATTTTGCCGACGCTTGACCACTTTCTAGTTAATTAGGTATATAACTTAACTACTGACTTCAAAAGAGAGGGGTACCGGGTACTTTAAACGTATTTGATAAAAGAATTATAATCCTCTATTACTTACTACATCCCTGTGTCACCAGGTGCAGTCATCACCCCTGCTGCCCCAACTAATAGTGACGGACCGCGGCCAGCAGAACAAGAACAAGAAGACAGAGCTGGACTCCAGGAGTCACCTGCCCACCATCTGACTAGCGCCGCGCGCGCGCATCCTACCCTCATTGTGATTAAATGTTCTTCATATTCAGAACTGGGTTTTATTTATTACTCTCCACAATCACTTCTATAGCAATTAGTTACAAATCAAATCAAATCAAATGTCTTTATTTGCTGAACAGAGGTGTACATAATTAGTGACTAAGGTTTTATTTATTTTTGTTACATATATCTCTTTGTTCTACCCGTTGGGCATACAGGGTTAATTGATTGTTCGCTGGTCGACTAGCTGCAATACAATGTTTTTTTTATTTTTTCTATTTTCAAATGGAAATAGGTAGTACATGTTTATGGAATGTGACATAGGACAATACAATGGAATACCTATTACTGTCGTCATAGGCATAGCCACGGTGGGGCAGAGTGGGGCAGTTGCCCCATCCAAGCGCAGCCCCGACAGTTACCAAACCTAAAAAAAAGCGCGCTTACGCTCTGGTCTGGTTCTGGTCGAGCTACCCTTGCTCGCCGTCCGTAGTCCCACGCTTATGGTGGCCAGAGATCTCGTGTACCCCTACACATACCCGGAGTGCCTCTCGTGACGGCTGGGGCATGAAAAGGTTCGTTTCTTCACGGGCCCCATTTTCTCCTTAGCTAGCATGACTGCTTCGCAGAAAGAGTACCTACTGCTAGCTACGCCCATGACTGTTATCCTTTAAAAATGAATTACCTGGATGACCGAGCTTTGCTAGATGTTTTATTTTCTTAGTAAACAACATTTTGTGAAATTGAATCCTAGCTAGATTGATTTGTCGCCCCCAAAACGCGTACAGAATTGGAAGAAAATCGGTACAGAGATCATTGATAAATACAAGAATTGCTTGATTAAATTAAAGTTTAATTAGGTGATTTTGGTAGATGTTCCTTTTTTGACTTGAAGATGATAATGTAACGGTAAAATGGGGTGAATAGGGTTTAAGCGGCGAAAAGGGACAGAAGACGGGTGAATCGATACTATGAAGAAATTCCTTATTTATTCAGCCCTCTTCTGTTCCTATTCACCTCTGGATCCCTATTCACCCCATTTTACGGTACTCTGTAATTGCCTGATAGTGTAAACAGCAGAAAGTTATAATTCTGACGCCTGAATACTTAATTCCTCCTCAATTCTAAGTTGCGTTTAAGTATAGTTCTGTCACGACAAATTCTTTAGATAATGACAGATATGATACGATTTTATGCACAATTTAAAATCATGTAGCCTTTCAGTATTTGGGTGTGAGAATAGTAAGTATTATTGGCATTGCATTTACATACAAATATCATATTATTACCTACTTTTAATTTAGATTAGGTATAATATACTTGTAGTTTTGACAATTACAAAAAAACAAATAAAACATGAAAAAATATAATTAACATTTTATTCTAAAAGTATCATTTTAAACTAGTATCATTAACTTTTATGTTAAATACCTTAAATTTAACACTGTTGTAATTTTCTTAAATTTAAAGTTCCATATTTACAAAGTTATGAGTGTGTCCGTTACTCTGATATGCTGATGTTTTTCAGCGCCTGAAACAGAGACAAAATAAAGCTTACAGTGTTAGATTACTAATGAATTCAATATCCTAGCTTCATCATTAAACTGTGTAGTTGACTGTTTAGTTGGTGCAATAGATTTTCTGTGCTAAATAACTATCTATAATGACGAATTTTGAATCCTTTTATTTAGCAGTCATGCTACTTTTAAGTCAAAATTAACTAAAATCTTGAAATCATCATATAGGCTGCATAATTGCTTACCACCAGGCGAGATAGGGGCCAATCGTCGGCCCATTGGAATAGTGATCATAAACCACTGGGGCTGTAAATAAATGGGAACTTAAACCTTAAATATTTAGCAATTATGACTAAAATGTAAGAACTAAGGTTAATTTAAACAATTATTTACTTTTGTAATCGGCAGTTTATTCCTCTCCTCGGCAGTGACCAACGATTCGACATGTTGTAGTTTATACCACCCGTAGTGAGCCCCAACAATCATAGGCACCATGATCAGGGCAACCAAGTTCTTTTTCAAGAAAACTCCCACATTCATTTTGTCAAATTTTATTTATTTTCCAATAATTACGTTTTGTTTGGTTACGCACCAATTGAAGGTTTTTCTAGATTGATATTATTCTACTTGTTTTAGAAGGTTATTATTGTATAAGAACTGTTTAGTATCAAAGTATTTTTATTTTTGTCGCATAAAATAGCAATGACAGTTTATTCTGTTTGTCAGTCTCACAGCTGATTGACGTTTATTTACCGAGAACGTTTAGAGTATTAAGTTAAAATGTATGACTTGATCATTGTGGTTGTTTTTATTTATTCAATAAAATAGAAACAGTTATCATCGAATAAACAATAAAAAGATTCTATATTGCTTTGTAACATATTATCATTATTTTTGCGTGTTTAGGTGGTTTGTTGTCTTGTCCAAATATTCCAGTTTTCGAATGTTACCGTTACGTTTAGTGATCTCCAAAGGAGTAACATTTAAATTTTTTATTTATTTGAATGAGGGATCATTATGAAAGTATGTTAATATTTATTACTTTGGTTACGTATTAGCTTGTCGTTAAATATTATTTTTAAATTATTTTTCACTTATGATTGACCAATTTCCAAGGAAAAGAAAACTAAACGTGTAGTAGGTTTTTATCACAATTTTACACCTTCATTAGCCAACGTATAGAAACACGGTTAGTGATCAACAGCCAATCATAAAAGCGCAGTGAATATAACACTTGACAGAACTATTTTGAAGTGGCTCGCTGTCGTGTCAATAAAAACGTGCTTCAAAAACATGGTGGCAGCTCAGTGAAGAGGGTGGACCGTTCGACTAGTCATTAAATTATTAGAAGCTTATTTAGCTGGAGTGTTTGATACAATTTGTAAGTACATCTAGAAGTCACGTTTTATAATAAAACATCCAGAAAAAATAGTGATATCCACGTTAAATTTTAGATAAACACCGTATAATAAGCTTCATACAAAACCGAGGATGACGTCTGAAGAAACCCAAATATCTGAAGAACTGAAGGGATGTTATGAGAATCTTATTGTAATCGACATTGGCGCGAACTTGACGAACAAGAAATACGGCCGTGATCTCGATTCTGTCGTGCAAAGGGCAAAAGATGCAGGTTGGTTAAAAAAGATGTAAAAAAAACATATGTGTGGTTGCGTGATGAAAATGATTTGGTGTTACAATGCCGACACTCACGTTTGAAGTAATTTATTCATTTAGACTGATTGCACATTGAATACCTCGCCATTTACTGGGTTATTGTCATGCTACATTTTTTTTATTGCTCGGAATTTTATGTATTATTATCTCTGAAATGAAATATGATCCAGCAATTTTATTTCAATGATGAAAGTCGTAATAATTACTTTGGAGTTTCTAGTAATAAATATTGTTTACATCAAGTATATTATTTGCAAAGGAAATCCCACTAGGAATGTGGTTTTTAAATATAAACGATGACTAATACTTGTGTAACGTACTGTTGCATCCTTTTCATTCTGGTTCAATAATAGTTTTATTGTTCTACTACACCTAAAAGAAGTCTAAGAATTCTCTAATACACATTATTCTTCACATGTATCTAAAAATTGAAAATTAATCTGTCAAACACCAAGCGGTCACCGGTGACCGCGACCTATTGTTCTTTAATTGTGTCTATAAAACCGGTACTCGACGAGTTAATGGGCAATCTTTATTTAAAAAAAAAACATCTAGACTTTTCAAAACCCTAATTTTGTTCCAGTACAATTCCAGACAAATATAAATAAGAAGGCTAACTTTATTAAAACTATTATATTATAGTTTTATTAAAAAACATAGGTAGTCATTTTTCTGTGAGAGATGAGAAATTGTAGAACATTTTTTTTTACAAAGTAAGGAATGATGTTCTTACTCATTCTTCTACATTCAAACCTACATTTTGGAACAAGCTTCACTGCTGGATAGACTAATAGACTATTATTTATTTTATATTTGATGTCATTTCAAAAGTACCAAATTGTGGTTTAAATGAAATAAATGCTATTGAGTATTTTTTTGAGTTTTCTGGAATTGCAATTTCATAACATTTCATGAACGGAAACTTTATTTCACAAATAGTGTGACATAGGCTGATAGTAATGATGGTCACATTTCAATGCAATTAGATTAGAGAAAAAAAAACAATAACACTAATGAGTAATCAGTACCTATGAATAATCGGTGTTTACAAATAATTTCTGTTTGTATCTGTGTCATTGTCTCTGAAAAACCTATTGTTTAATTGGTTTAAGCACAAGAATATCTACATATCCCATATATCCCCAAAGGGTTACCGGTGACCGATCTCCATTAACTACATTATAGACCTTATTGCCAATGTTTAGCAACTACTTTTGTATGAACAAATAGAAACGCAGTGTAGTTAATTAGAGTTCCAAAGCTATACAAATATTTGATTGTTTACTGATTTAAATTACATTTTATTATGATAATATTGTTTGTTTTGCTGCTGCATGTTTGTTTAGTAAACAAGTGATGTAATTTTGTAATGTACTAGCTCTCTGCTCAGCTCCTATTGGTCGTAGCGGGATGTTTTATAGCCTATTATAGCCATCATCGATAATTGCGCTATCCAACACAAAAAGAATTATTCAAATCAGACTTTTAGTTACGGAGATTAGCGCGTTTAAACAAAAAAACTAACTCTTCCGCTTTATATATAAGATTATAATAATACATTATGGAACTGCTGCTTAGAACAAGTCGAGATTTGAAAGATTTTGTTTCAATAACTTTTACGTATAGTTAAGTATATTTTGTTGATTACACATTGTAATCACTACATAGTATAAAACAAAATCGCTATCCGCCGTCTGTCTGTCCCTATGTATGCTTAAATCTTTAAAACTATGCAACGGATTTTGATTTGGTTTTTTTAATAGATAGAGTGATTCTTTAGGAAGGTTTATATGTATAATACATGCATATTGCATCCGTGCGAAGCCGGGGCGGGTCACTAGTGTAAAATAATACATAACTAATGTGTCGCGGAGAACCTAACGGGTAACCGGGGCTCCGGCTCGACGTGCAGGAGAAGGAACGGGGTGGTTTTTAGTCAGTAAGAGTCTGACACTCCCTCCCGCCTCACCCAGACGGGAGCAGTCATTCGATGATTTTCCCCCCTTAAAAAAAGTGTAAAATAATACATATAACTAATGTAACAATTCTTTTAATCTAGCCTAGTTCAAAATCTTTGGCTTAACCCCTCGAGCGTCCTTATGAGCGTGGATCATAAGAAAAAATGCTCCATGCTGCTTTCTCTTTTATAAAATCTATTATTAATGTTTTGTTTTTATTTTGACTGTATTTGTTTTATTTCTATTGTAATGATCCTTGTTTTCGTGTGCCAACGGCCAAATAAATGCATTTTCTTGCATGGATAAGGATAAGGAAATGCATAAGGAACGCGGACGCTCGACGGGTTAAAAATCTATACTTGAATTGATCAAAAAATTAAGGTTTTCTATGATGATATCTCAGTAGCTAGGTACCACTAAAAGCCTACAGGTTTAGCTTGTGCTTTTAGCATTATATTTTGCTGTAATAGTTTACAATAAGCAAATAAGTTTTCCTTATGGGATTAAATGAGCAAAGTATACTGTTGCCAATTCAATAATTCATTACTACAGAGTATTAAGCTTAATTTAACATTTATTAAAGCGTTATATTGTGCAGGTGTCCAGAAGATCATGGTAACAGGCACCTCAGTGCGGAACAGTAAAGAAGCCTTAAGACTGACTCGTCTCTATCCCAGCACAATATACTCTACGGCTGGTAAGTCTATTTTATTAATTACTGCCTCTTTTCCGCTACCATGTGAATACATATAAACTCTGACTGTCATATTGCAGTAATAAGATTGCGAAATTTATGCATGCCCAACTAAATTAACTAAAATCGCAGGTTACTCACGTGAATATACTGAGAAAAGCTCTACTAGTTTCGACTGTTTTTTCAACCATAAATCAATTTTTTTTATGGAATAAGCTGGTGAACGAACAGGCGGTTCACCTGATGGTAAACAATCGGCGTCGCCCATCGCCCATGGACACCCGGAACACCAGAGGCGTTACGAGTGCAATGTAGGCCCATTGGGGATTACGAATTCGAGAATTGTCTGGGATTCAGGGATTGAGGAGATTGGGAACGGGGGTAATTGGGCCTTCGGTATCCTCACTCACATGACTAAACATAGTGCAAGCGTTGTTTCACGTCGGTTTTCTGTGAGGCCGTGGTATAACTCCGGTCGAGCCGGCCCATTCGTGCCGAAGCATGGCTCTCCAACACTTCTTTTCTTTTCTGATACCAGATTTCTTTTTCTAAATACCTGAATGCATGAACTTAGTGGACAGAAATTCGCAAAACAATCGACCCTAATACACATTAACAATTGACGAAAAATAAAACGCCTAAATGCCTTCTTATACAGGAAATACCATTTGTAGTATGATTGTTATTTATAAAATAGACATGCCATGCATTCTACATCTTCAGTTAATCAAGAATGATCCTTCGATAAGATACAATATACTCACACAAGTCATACCTATCCGGATTGTGAAACATGGGGACCACAGTCTCTAGATAATAAATAGTGGCTTATCACATCACCTAAGTACAGATATTTATTGACACATTCCATACATATTGCTCAATGCTCAAGTAATTTGTAAATAGTCCTCTCAGTTATGTCTTTTCTCATACATACACCATCCTTTTATCTCAATGACTGCATAGTTTGTGATCTCGAGTGCCATTGTTGAGCATGCAGTTTTGTTTCCTCGAAATTATGTCTCAGTAGTTTGAAGAAATCACCATCTCACCTTATGGGACTCATAACTAGTGAACAATAGATATTATTATGTTATCCCTCCTATTCCTTCTGGGATTAAATGACGTAGCATTTATGTATCATATAGCGGCTACACACCCTACGATTTAACTGTGCAGTACAGCTGAACTGTACATTTAATTCGTAAGTCCATACACCCTACAAAGTCAAAATCATTTATTTCAATTAGACTAGAAAAGCACTTTTGAACGTCAACAAAAAAAATTTAAAAGTGAAGCTATTTGCTCATTCCAAGTGTAGATTCCTATGGGTAAGAATGAGCAAGAAACTCCATAGGTTACTCTTTTTCAATCTGGTTTAGTTAGTTCAGGTGAAACTGTACAGTGCAACTGTTTTAAAAGAAAAAGCATTTATTGGGCAAGTAGGCACACACAAAAACAAACATTATAAAAATTATAGATAAGATACTTATATAAAGATACTTATAAAAAATATTAATAAAACACTTAAAAAAGTAAAGAAAAAACAATAAACAAAAAAGTTAAAAAAAACATGTACAGTACAAGATATAAAAATAATTATTATTAAAGTGCGCGTGCCCATGCCAAAAGGGCCTCCACAACCTCCACTTCAACATATAGTTGAGCGTTCCTGCCCAACGCTGGTTTTCGGATGGCCGGTTTCCTCTACACAACTCACGATTTAACTATATGTACAGTTCGCCTGTACAGTTAAATCGTATGATGTGCAGCGTACATAAGTATCACACCATTGGGACCATACCAAAGAGTATAATATAATGTTGTTCCGTCTCATAATCTTAATTCTACAAGCCTATATTTGAATTGAATTAAACAATCAATTAGTTTATCAGTCGTTTACTTTACAGTGATAATAATAACGTTATCATTGAATTTACATTATCATTATAATAAGTTATCTGTAAACAGTCTGCGTTTTGGTTACACGGACTTTGTAATAGGACAGACTATCTGACGGGAGAAAGGGAAATATATTGTGTCGGGTCTAAATTACTTGGGATAAAGATATAAAGATGAAGCATCGCTAGGCTTGTAATGAAAGGATGGAAAAACAGGCAACAACGAAAGGTTGTTACATGTTACCTATATAGACGATTAATTTATTCTGTTTCCTGCAGTGATTGGGATGGTATGAAAATTAAAAATCTAATTAGTCCGTAAGTTAAGTAATTAAAAAATATTAGATACGTATTTTTTATTTTGTCGTATAATAAAACAATACTTAGATAAAACGAATCAAAGTTTAGAAGTGGGGGCTAAACGTCGTTTTTACATATAAAATGTACATATAAGTGACGTCAAGCGACATTTCAAATCGATGTATTGTCGAAAGTATTCGTTTCTGTAAGAAATTAAAAATTACGTGTCTAATGATTTAAAATAATATACCAGACGGACATTAAAATAAAAATTAGGCATCTACCCTGATCACCGACGGAAGTGGAAACTATTGTTTTTCTTTTTCTCCTACTATAATATCTTCTGATTTATTTCGTTGCGGGAACCAAGACAGTTATTCATGTCCCTGGGATGCGCCGACTTCAGTGTTCAAGTGTTTTCGTGATTGTATCTACTGTAGATCCTGGCATACAGGAGTTGCAGAGGTATTGGGACTTGGGAGATTGTGGCGAGCTTGGCTAAAAAAAATGCAGACGAATTATTTCCAGAATACTTACAAAAAATCCATACGTTGACATTTTGACGTCGTACTATTTTAGATTATAATTTCTCAGGCTTGAAATCCCGGCCGTCGCTTTAGCAACCACTTGACCAACGAAGGAGAAAAACAGCATAATTTAACATTTCCTTATTTAAATAAAACTACTTTTTAAACCGAGTATAATTCCATAAAAATTGAGTTCACTGGTTTTCTAGAAAACCATGTAGTTTAAACAAACAAGTTTGTATTTCCTTACTGCAGCGCACAGATTAAATAATTGAAATATTTAATTAAAAATTAACGTAAAGAGGTTAATTATCTTACTTTTACATGCAGTAATTATAATTTTATAACTCTCTCCTTGTTGTGGATTCATGAGCATATCATAATGACTTTGTTTAGGTAAAGATAGTACCGGTTTGTAGTTGAAGATTATAATATTATTTTAATAGTTTTCAGGACAATTACCTAATCTAAATAACTAATAGACTATTCTTATGTTTAAAAGTGGTTTCAAAGTCAAAGTCAAAGCATTTATTTTAATTAAACCATAGTTTGTTTTGAAACGTCAACAAATACAAAATAAATAATAGTCTGTCAGTCAGTCCGTCAGTGAAACTAGGTGAAGCTAGGTGCTCATTCCAAAATGTAGATTCGAATGGAGAAGAACGAGTTTTCCATTCGTTACTCTTTTTAAAAGTATGTTCTACAATGTCTCTGATACATATTTCAATACTGTACGCATATGTAAGAACAATGCAAAGACATGCTTGACGCATTATACTAATAATTTACTAAAAAAAAAAATTAAAAATCTTAAAGTCTAACATGGTGCTCACATAATATGCATACTGACAATCCATAGAAATAGTGCTTCTATACAAGAAAAAGGAAACTCTTTGTTTCAATAAAGAAAGAGCTTCAAGGCTTATGAATAAAATTTTATATACAGTTGTTACAGTTACATATAGTTGACTGTCTTGTTGATCAAGTGGCTGCAACCGCAATTGCCGAGTAAGGAGTCTCAGGCATTATTCCTGGGTCGTAAAACGAGCTATGGCAAATGTTTCTGTTTTTCTAAAACTTTCGAATAGTAGCACAGAGTTTGAAGTTTTTACCGGTATATGACAATAGGGTTTTGTACAGCTATTTAATGTTTATGAGACCTATAATACAACAGGTGAAAAAGTTGGTATTACAAATTATTATAATATCTACCTTTACATAACCTTCCGAAATCAACGACTTGACGTTAGCAATTACTTTTTTATCTTCACTACATAGTATAAAACAAAGTCGCTATCCGCCGTCTGTCTGTCCCTTGTGATCTTTAAAACTACGCAACGAATTTTGAAGTTTTTTTAATAGAGTGATTCTTAAGGAAGGTTTTCTTTTTTTTTCTTTTTATAAAAACGTTGCCCCACACTAGGATTTTCTCCTGTGTCGTGGGTGTGTTTACAAACATACGAATTCACATACACATGACACCCAGACCCGGAACAACAATTTGTGGATCACACAGAGTGTTGTTCCGTGCGGGAATCGAACCCGCGACACGTTGCACGGCAGCCGGTTGCCCAGCCACCGCACCAACCGTGCAGTCAAAAAGTTTATATGGATAATACATGCATATTGCACGCGTGCGAAGCCGAGGCGGGTCGCCAGTACTAAATAAAACATATTGCTACAGGTGTCCACCCCCACGATGCAAAGTCCATGATTGAGGAAGATATGTGGGGCGACCTACAAGAGATTGCAGCTGCGCCGGAATGCGTGGCGGTCGGCGAGTGCGGGCTCAACTACAGCAAAGACTTCTCAGAGCCACAAGTGCAGCGCGAAGTGTTCAAACGACAGGTCAGTTTAAGATAAGAAAAAAGAAATTGATTGTTGTTTTTTTTTTCAGGTTAAGTTTTATAGGTGGTGCAAAAATTATGCTCATCTCAGTAGAAAGTGTAAATGCTTAAAATGTGACAGTTAATTAGTAAACGAGTCATCAAGTAATATATAAGACTATTTTCACCTGTAACATACGAATAGTGTAAATGCTTAAAATGTGACAGTTAATTAGTAAACGAGTCATCAAGTAATATATAATACTATTTTCACCTGTAACATTGTATTTACTTGTCATTCCTAAATATGTGTGTGCGTAATACTCACACTTAAGGAGCTGAAACGATGTCAATGATTTTTTGACTCAGTGTCAGAGGTCTCCTTTACAAGTCTTAGTCTCGTAGCACAATCAAAATCTCTTCTCTAATCATCCACAACCAAAAGAGTATTATATCCCTTTAAAGGCGTATCATACTCAGTTCCCAAGCATATAAAGGACAGTTAAACACTCCCACACTCTACACAATGGTCGGGATTGATCCAGAATGTTTATTCCCGACGTATGCCCGCATCTGTCCATTAATCGCCCCGTCTTGTCCAGTTCAATAGGCATACTTATACTCTTAAAGCATTCAGTAGATGTGAATCAGCGTGGAATCAGCTCTCAATGATATGCGTAGGAACGTCCTTAAGTAATGGGACTTTGATATTAATATTTTTATTTTAGTATTTGATATGATTGAATAATATAAAGTACAGTCGACTCTCGTTAGTTCTAAATTAGAGGGTCTTTTAAAATCCGAATGTGCGAAATATCAAATGGTCCGAAATTTGAACATGCCTCAGTATTTGGGTACTTACCTCTGCGAATTCTGAGATCTTTCTATTCCTTTCTCTCTGCAACTTCGAACTATCGACATTTTGACACCGATAAGTTTGAATTAACGACTCATTTGGTAACGTAGCGATGACTTTTCGTTTGAATTACCAAGTGTATAAAAATGTATTGATTTAGTTCGAAATGTAAAGATATTTTTGGGGACCTCGTGATAACTTCGATTTACAGAGAGGTTCGAATTGTCGAAGGTTTTAATTAACCAGAGTCCAGACTGTACGTGTTATACGATTAAGCAGAGTAGAACACATTTTTCGCCACCTCTCTCCTCTTGTCAGTGTCGTAAGAGCATCTCTTGTAAACATTTTGCAGCCAAATTGAATAACCGACCTTATTCTAAAGTCTCTGATCGATCTCTGTTTCTGAAAAAAAAAACTCCATACAACTAAAGATAAACAAAAATCAACCCTAAATCACAGATGTTAGGTTCAGATTGGTTATTATTTCGAATGTAAAACTGCGACATTCAACTCTGCTAAGTATAGTGATTCTGGTAAACGTTCTTACCTAAAGGAGGTATTTTTTTTAAACATTGCCTCACTCTAGGATTTTATCCTGTGTCGTGGGTGCCTTTACAAACATATAACTTCACATACACATGACACCCAGACCCGGAACAACAATCTGTGGATCCTGGTCTGGGTCTACAGTTTAGTAGTTAAATACGGACTGTGGATGGTAATGAAGCTGTTTATTTTAATTAATATCATTGTTTTGTATAGAGCGATTACCATCAAAGAGGTTGGTAGTGCTGTTACACACTCTAGGTTTTACCCGGTTACGGAATAGTAATAATGTTGTCTTCGTTACCTCATATTACAATGAGACTATGTACATTTATTGCGAATATAGTTTACTAACTTTTACCCGCGGCTTCGCTCGCGTCACAAAAGGATAAAAAGTAGCCTATGTGACATATACCGATACACAGCGCCATCTATACCAATACTTTTGTTTTCCCTCGGGAATATCAAATTTTTCCATGATAAAAAATACCCTATTATTTAATCCAGACTTATAACTTTACGTCTGCAAAAATTCAAAGCAATCGGTCTAGTAGTTACGGCGTGAAAGCGGAACAAACAGACAAACAAACTCACTTTCCGATTTATAATATTAGTAAGGATATTTTATATCCTCCTTTAGACGCTGTAAAATGTGAAAGAATACCTCTTTGTTAACATCACTGCGCAAATGTGAATTATAGTTAGGAATTTGGTAACTTGACATGCCTAGGTTTAAAATGTCTTCTAACTTTATTAGTTTTTTGGCCTTTGTTCTCTATCCACCATAGCAACCATTTTATACTCCATGTGTTGTTCTGGCATTTCGCCAAACACAGTTCCAGCAGATCTTCTATTTGCAGTTTCTGCTATATTTGGACGCGTCCACGTTCATTGTTCACAGAGAAAATGAAATCGATTCGTCTCGAAAAAATATCGATTGCTAATCGAGTAATCGATTGATCGCCGGCTCATGTGCGATGTCTTTCGCTTGGTTTAATTTTAGAATGCCATTAATGTCTGCTACGTTGATTTTTGTGATCGTATACACATTTATATATGCGTTATGTGCAATTTTGCTTATTTGGTTCACTTGGTTTTGTGAATTCTCGTTAATTAAGTCCCAAATCTTGAGTTTTAGGGTTTGCTTAACCCTTTGAGTACCGTCATTATAGACACAATTAAAGAAAAATAGCTTGCGGTCACCGGTGTCCTCGCGGTGTTTGACAGTTTAAAGGCTTGAATATGATATGAAATTTCCAGTGCTATCAATCAATCACAATATCACATAATAACAACAATTCATTGTATTTGTACCATAAAACCTTTGAATGTGTGGCTCAAGACTTTCCGAAAATTAATGACGTTTTTATGTGAGCGGTCTCAATTGTGAAATATAAACCTGATTCTGATTCTGGTGATATCATCACCAGCCTGCTTCAGTCTACTTCTGAACATGGGCCTCTCCAATAGCACACAGCTCTCCAATAGCATCAGCTTCAGCTCTTTTCACCCAACTACTAGATACATGGCACTTTACGGACACTACATCACTTAACTGATCCAATATCTTACTAACACTCACCAATTCCATATCAAGGACTTATAAAATGTGGCAACAGTTAATAAAATACATTTTTCAAAGCAACTGCAGTAGAAATCGGCCAGCCACGGTTGCGAACATTAAACCAATGATTGGTTGCGTAAATATGCGTGCTCTGTACTATCTAGCTAAATAACTATAACGTATATTTGCAGTTCCTACAATAATATACGATGTGTGGTGAAAGTTAGTATTTTTTTTTATAAATTGCTACTTTTTACCACCGACTTTTGCTTGGGAATTTCGCCTATGTTCTTCTCTGGAGTTGTAACTAAGTGTATGCGAAATTTCAAGAATGTTGGTTGAGTGGATAAACAGTATAGAGGCGATATATTGTTAGTTAAAAATAATAATAGAATTTGGAAGCTCGTGGCGCTAGTTTCGTTTTAAGAGCACATAAGGCATTTTCGGTGGTTTTTTTATATTGGATGGGACTGATGTTTGACCACTATCTCGCCTGGTGGTAAACGATGATGTGGCCTACGATGGAGCACGTCGACCCATAAGCAACTCACTTCACTCGGTTTTTGTTTTCAAAATGTTTTGTACTACTATTTAAAGTGTCTGTCCATATTTTCTGTTCAAAATCTAAAATGATTATTGTGTTAACTTTTCCAATATTGTAATAGTAATTCTACTATCCAACACGTGAACGGCCAAAACCAAAGATCATGAAAAACTCCATTTATTTCAAGTCAACAACGGCCGACATTTCACATATCAGTAACCATTATTGCGTGTGTCTAATCACTGATTACTTTATCGATCATTCAATCTTACTTGGTGTTAAATACCTTACAATTATTTCTAAAAGAGTGTTGAGTTACTCTAAGCGATATTATAGAGTAATTTTCATTTAAATGGAGTGTATGTATGTATCATTATAAGTGCTGTTTGCTACCGATCCACTTTAATAGCTCATGAGAGTATACTACTTGTTCAACTGTGATGGGCCTTAATTATTATGTTTTTCGGCCTACTCACGTAATTATTTGACGAGGAACTCGACTAGTTTCAAGCCATGCTAAAGGGTCATCATGCTCAGAGGCTCATGAGCAACATTCCGCGACCCGGGACGCAGCGCCTGTCGCGCTGCTACTGGCTACTCGAGTCTGCAGTACGGCAGCGCGACATTGTTGGCACGTTAGACTCGATCGCTGGCGGCTGCGTAGGTGTTGGGTTAGAATCCCGGGTTGACGCAAAAACAGTGTTACATGCCGCGCTCACTGTGTCACACTGAGCCCACTCCAGAGCCATTGTAGTCTGACGCAGATTTCAGACTCGGCTTCCAGGTAGGTGGTAATGCCCAGCAACGGTCTCCGTTAAAGTTCGGACGACGGTTTATTTCGGCGGTTGTAAAAACATAATAATTTATTTAGTATGACTCATAAAAGTTACAATACAGATATGTAGGGCCTTCTTTATAAGAGGTTACCAGAATTTCAACGCGTGAAAGGTAGGAGACTGCAGTTCGAAAGAGGTTAATCAGAGGGCGCTGCTACGCGGTGGCCCGTCTCTGTTATGTAGTCCCTTGGTTAGCAGCCGTCGGAAAAAAAGTTGTGGTGACATACCTATGTGTTCATTTCTGCCGTCACTATTCGGTGAAGTATTCTAAACAGTATTATATTATTCTAGTGAGAATGTATCATTATAACTACGTGTTATTGCCACTGATCCGTTGCGGTTAAATTCGTTCATTGCATGCCTACGCAATCGCTGTTACACTGTAGATAATCTGCAGTAGTGTAGTTTGTTTGAGATGCTTTATTCCTTCTACCCAATACCGTCTTAACCATAAGGGCACTCGGGATCCGTGCCCAGGGCCCCCATCTTCAGTTGTCCCCGATGGACCGACAATTTCTAGGATGGACACGGCAACCAGTTGCCGCGCAACTTATAGCGGGTTCGATTCCCGCACGGTGCAAATCTTTGTGTGCTGCACAAATTGTTGTTCCGGGTCTGGGTGTCATGTGTATGTGAACTTGTATGTTTGTAAATGTACCGATACAGGAGAAAATCT